ACTTTATGGATTATCTTTCATGATTAGGTCCTCTTACTCAAAGCACCTTCAAACTTTCTTTCATAGTCCTTTAAGATTTTTACTTGATTTCTTAGGATTTTCTGATTAAGTTCCATGGCTGTTTTACTGATGTGTCCCAATGCCTAGCCTGTGCCTCAGATGCAAGGAATCTACTCACTAAATATTTATTGTATGATTCAATAACATTACTAAGAATTTGCTTTAGAAGGATCATTGGCTAATAAATTTTGGAATATAAATTAAAGATATTCTTCAGGGTACAAAGCAAAAAGTTATTTTTTTTCTCGTGTGCCATGCACTGTGCTAAGTTCTTGAGATATAAAGATAAAACAACTTCTACTCTCAAGGAGTTACCAGTAATTTTAAACATCACATGCATATAAAACCAATAAAATTCTCAAATATTTTTGGAGGAAAGGGAGACAATATAGTCTTCTCTGTAGGAAAGAATTACTTAAGGAGAGTTTTATAAATCAAAACCTTATGGTATGTGTGAAAGACAGATTTATAAACTCTTTTTATTAATGTGAGGTATGAATGAATTAGGAACAGTGCTTACAGGACCCTGTTGGCAAGAGAAAAGAAAAATACAGTCAGTGTCTTAGAAAGACCTATTAGGTTCTTCAGAAGATGATATGAATGCTTTAAGTTAGGCCCTAGCTTACCTACTGTCTCTACTTCTCACCCACCTCTCCTCTTCATATCAGTGATTTATTTCAGTAGGTCTTGCTGGAAATTCTCCATTTGGAAATTGGGTGTGTGTGTGTGTGTGTGTGTGTGTGTATGTTTTCATTTTGCCACCATGAATTATGTTAGATGTTTTGTTACTGGAGAAAGATATAATTAACCTGCAGAATCTAAGTGAAAACAGACTTGGCCTCAGAAATAATTTATGTGGAAGTTAAGTGGTTTGACCCAAAAAAGAAAAATAATGTAATGCTCAGTTATTATTGCCATTGTGTTTGTTTTGGCCAAATAATTCCATTTAAACAGATTGGTTTTATGCATTTCATTTTTTCTTCTAAAAATTTTCATAAAATTAAATGGATACTTAACTTTAAATTTTCTCTCTCTTTTTAGGAGGGGAAGGCAGAATTGTGTTTTACTTTTTAATAACCTAGTTCTTTGAAATCTTTTAAATAGCAAGGTGTAAGTCACAAATTAAAAAATTTTGGAGCACAAGTGTTATAAGAATCACCAGGAGTATTTGTAAAAATGCAAATTCACACTCTCCAGCCCCAAGGATTATAATCCATTTGGTAGTTGTAGGAAATCCAAGATACACTTTTTTCAACATGTAGAAAATGTAGGTGATCTAGTTTAAGGAGCTTAATATTTTGCATCCCCTCAAAAAGAAACATTATAGACTGAAGATGGACTCAAAGAGTAACTGAGAATTTTTCTTAACTACACTATTAGTTTAAGACTGAATTTCTGGAACAAGACACATCACATAGTTAAATATAACAATTCCAAATATTAATCATTTTTGCTTTAGTTGTTATTTTGAATACACATATATGCTTTCTTCCACTAGGTAAAATACTTGAGAATGAATTATAATTGTTTTAGACCATAAAAATAGTTTAAAATGGCTGAAAGAGAAAAGAAATCAGACACAAAAGTGTATATACTATATAATCCCATTTAAATGAAGTTTTAGAACAGGGAAAAGTAATCCCAAATGACAGAAAATAAATTACTGGTAGCCTGTGGCATAGGGGTTAACTACACAGGGGCATAAGGGAACTTAATGGGTTGCTAGAAATGTCCTGTATCTAGGTTGTAGTGGTGATTACCTAAGGATATATATTTGCTCGTAACACCGTCCACTTAAGAATTTTATTGGATGCAAATCATACCTTATTAAAGTTGATTAAAATAGGCTATACTTGTGAGGTTATTTTTTTTAATGAGGCTAAATTTCTGAAGCAAGTGTTTTAGGTAGCTCACAGAATCTCCAGCAGGACCATGGAATTGACTTTGGAGGCTACATAATCAGGAATGGCACCTCCTACTGCAAGGGAGGCTAGAAAAGTGAGTTTCTGAATTCAACCTTTAGACTGTGGAACTTTGAAGTTGGATCATTTCTCAACTTTGTCTGGATCTCTGTCTTCATTTGTGTGCATGTGTGTGTGCACGCTTGCTTTGAAATGGAAAAGTACTAAAAAAATTAAAGAGGAAAATGACATTCATCCATATTCTCTTTACCAAGACTTAATTACTTTAACATTTAGACACGTTCTGAGCTCTTTTGCTGTTGATTATTTAACACATATTAGAGAATAAATATATGAATTCATTGCCATAAAAATTAGAGAATTACAGATAATGCTGAAGCTGACATTAACCCTAGTGTTGTGATTTTGATCTCATTTCCCCTCATTAGCAGCAAACATTACTATGAGTTTTGTGTAGGTATTTTTTTCTAACTTTTGCATATATAGGAATGCATAGAAAATGTATATATTACTTTGAGTTTTAAAAATTTATCTAAATAAGGGGCGCCTGGGTGGCTTAGTTGGTTAAGGGTCCGAATTTCGCTTGGGTCATGATCTCGCGGTTCGTGGGTTCGAGCCCCACGTCGGGCTCTGTGCTGACTGCCAGCCCAGAGCCTGGAGCCTATTTCAGAGTCTGTGTCTCCCTCTCTCTCTGANGGGTTCGAGCCCCACGTCGGGCTCTGTGCTGACTGCCAGCCCAGAGCCTGGAGCCTATTTCAGAGTCTGTGTCTCCCTCTCTCTCTGACCCTCCCCTGCTCACGCTGTCTCTCTCTCTCTCTCTCCTAGAAATAAATAAAAAATATTAAAAAAAATTTACCTAAATGGTATCATGCTGTGCCCATGGTTTTACAACTTGCCTTTTTAACTCAATGTGTTTTTCAGCTCTACCAATATTGATACTGATAGGTTTAGTAGTTAGCAACTCTAAGTACAAATAAATGAGTACAATAGGAATAAATGAAGATTTGGCAGCTCAGGAGAAATACTGTACTATTAAATCCATAAAACTCATTAGAAATTTTTAGGAATTAGAAGCTTTTATTCTGATAATAAAAAATTTTAATAATCTGGACAGCAGCCTCACTGGGCTGCTACTTCCCTACTTATGGTAGAGCCTTCTCTGTACCCAGAGACAGACAGCCAACCAAGAAAAAGTTAAAACACAACAATCTGACCGTACTAGACAAGGAAAAATAAAGCTGCAAAACTTTTAGAGAGGCATTAACTTCCTAAGTTGAGCAACGACAGTTGGCAACTGCCTGTTTATTGATTATTATTTTAAATGTTTATCTACTATTTAATGTTTATTATTTATTTATTTTAATGGTGGTTTATTTATTTTATTATTATTTTTAATGTTTATTTATTAAGTAATTTAATGATTATTTAATTTTAAATGTTTATTTTATTTTGGGGGTCACAAGCAGGGGAGGGGCAGAGAGGAAGGAGAGGGAGAATCCTAAGCAGGCTCCATGTTCAGCACGGAGCCCAACAGCAGGGCTTGATCTCACCACTATGAGATCATTATCTGAGCCTAAATCAAGAGTTGGACGCTTAACCAACAGAGCCACCCAGGAGCCCAATAGTTGCCTATTTAGACTAACCTGTATACAGTGAGTTTTTTGTATAGTAACTATTTTGAAAAGCCCGTTTTTCCCTCACACCACTCTTACTAACACTAAAGGCATTGTGTGGTAGCAGAAACTGTATGGCAGTAGTAAGATTAAAAAAATATTTTTCCTTCTGCAATTGCTTAATTTCACATTTAAAACTGTGCATATAAATTGGCAACCTCAACTAAAGAATAATTAAATGCTGTCAATATGAAATTTGAAAATATGTTTAAATAAGAAAAATCGCTTTTGTATCATGCTAATTTATTTAAAATTATCACCATAATTAATGGCATTTCAGGTTGAAGTTAAAATGAATTTTGGTAAGGTCTGACAATCACATACTTCAATGAAATAGAGACTCCAGTATCATTTTTAAAATTGCACTCACAGAGAAGAATAAGTAGCTGTTAGGATAGGCTGGTGGTGAGGGCAATAGCTCTTAACAAAATATTCTCCAATCTACAGACACATTTTTTTTCCCTCAAACAGCACATAATAATGATAATCAAGAATTACATAATGGTTGCCAAGTGCCAGACACTCAGGAACACACGGTACAGATTTTAATTAATTTGAACCTTGCAATAACCATCATTATCACTATTTCCATTTTATAGGTGAGGAATCTGATACAGGAAGCTCGGGGACTTGCTCAGAATCATACAATTAAGATGAAACACAGGTTGCACGTATAGGAGGACTAGGAGGAACTTAACAGAGGACCAATCGGGAGAAGAAGGGGGGAAATGGTGGGGGAAAGGGAGAGAGGCAAACCATGAGAGACTCTTGAATGCTGACAAAAACTGAGGACTGATGGATGTGGGGGGGAGGGGGGGATGGGCATGGAGGAGGGCACTTGTGGGGATGAGCACTGGGTGTTATGTGGAAACTAATTTGACAATAAACTATTTGAAAAAAAAAAAAAGAAAAAAAAAAAAGATGAAACACAGGTGAGATTTAAACTCATTTGGGTTAGCTCCAGAGTGCATACACTTAAGCAGATGCTAGTCTGTCTCTTCTGAATATGTGTGTGTGTATACACCTATGCATATATATACACACACACATATATATACTTATATATAAATAACATGTCTGTTATTTTCTTTTACCTAATGGAAACCACCAGTTAAAGCAGGAAGAAAGCCTCCAGTTTAAAGGGGCTTTTAGGGAAGTATATTTCAGAAAAAAAATAAATTATACATACAAAGAGGTATTTGGTCCGTCTAAATTCTCACTCTGATATGCTAGGCCCTCACTATAGGGGCTCTAGAATTCTCTCTTCGTATATACATATATGTTTGTGTATTTATGTATGTGCACTTGTATATGTTTGTATATGTATTATACATCCATTCCCAATGGTGGGAAATTTTTGTTCTCTGAGAATGGATTTTATCTGGAGATGATCAAGAGCATTTTGAGCTAAGACGAGTGGGTGATGGAGAGTTGGGCAATATTCATTTGAAATAAAAATAAGCTTGGGCTAAAAATAATGAAATGACCTTTTTAACATTCAGTTACCAACTGTGACATTTACTTTTTCTAGCAAAGGATCTAGATACCTTTGGAATTCCATTATAAGGTGGGTCTTCTCCCAATTCTCTCCCCAACATTTTTCTGCCTCTCTTCATTAATGAGGGTAATCTTGGATATATACACAATTCTTTGTGTATGTGAACTCCACACTGTTTTGTAGCTTATGTGACACTGAGTACATACCGTGGTAAAAGGAGCACTCTCAGCTGTAATGCTCTAAGAATGCAGACATTTTAGTCACCCAGGAAAGTCCTACCTTTATAAATAGATCATTAGAAGAAGTTTTCATTTTTATACTTGGATGAAACTTAGTTTTTCTTTATTTCCACATGTCTGAAATAAAAATCATTTACCCAGTCCACGACAGATTGAGATCCATTTTGCTGTATGAAAACGCACTCTGTTCTTGGCATATTCGCAGAGTCCTGCAGCGGTTTCCTCTTACCCACTGCTGCCATCTGCTGGTCTTATGATTATTAGATTTTAGAGAAAGCTGTGCATAATGCTCCAGTCAAGATGATGCAAAATGCAAATATCATCAATAAGTAGTTTTGTAGACCCTGGATAAGAAAAAAAGTAACTGTTATTAAGAAAATTTGAATAAAACATGCAGAAAGCACAGACAGACTCTCAAGATTGCTAGGGACCTTGCTAACTCTCTGCTCCAGCCACCTGCATGCCTTTTGCCATTCCTTCAAGCAATCATCCAGATCCTCTTGAAAACCCACAAGAGCATTACTAATTCACTCACTCAGTAAATAAACGTGGACATCCACTTTGCATCAACATGTGCTGGAGTTAACATGGTGAGCAAAATGTGCCCTTATTCAGATAATTATGTAATAGGGGAGACAGAAGTTGATAATCAGAAAAGAATGTTAACAAGGTAAAAGGGATGTTAACAAGTAAACAAGAATGATTGTTTCTGAAGTGTGTTACAAAGGAATCTCAATGAGGCTGGTTTGGATAGTGGGGAATTAAACTTCTAACTGTAAGTACCAATTAATTGGTCAGGGAAACAGGTAGGGATTCTAGGTAGAAGGAATTTTATGTGCAAAGCTCTGTTGTATGAGAAAGTATGATACTTTCCGGGGATTGAAAGAAGGTCAGTGTGGCCCAATGGGTTAAGTGGAACAAAACCAAGCTGGAGAGATATGGCCCAAGCCCACGTGGGGTCCATAGGCCATGTGCACTTTGAGGTTTTATTTTTCCAAGTAATGGGAAGGCAAAGACACAGGCAGCTGGATATGGTGAAAAGATGGGATTCACATTTTATAAAGCCCACTTTTTTGCAGATGGTGAACAGATTGGAGAGGTCCAAAATGGATGCAAGGAGATCATTAAGGAGGAAACTACTGTCTTCTTGGGGACAGATTATGAGGTGCAGATGGAGAGATAGAGCTCGAACTGAAGGGTGAGAAAGGAACAGAGATACTAAGTTTGCCTTGTCCAGTGATGGGCAGCAGGCCCACTGATCTTAAAGATGGGGAACACTGAGAAACACTTCCCAATGTGGCCAGTCCATCTTCGATTAACAAACAAATATCTTTCTGGTTAAGTAGAAATATTTTATTTACCGTAAGTTCTATCTATCTCCAGGGGTACAGAGAGGTCAGTTCTAATCTCTCTCCCACAAGATAAACCCTCAAACATGAAAAAAATTACTGTCTTATATTCCTGAAGCAATTTTTTTCCTGATCAGCATTTTAGGTCCTTTGATCATTTTTCACGTGAAATAGTTTCAAGCTCCCAGGCTATTCCCATCTGAATGATTGCCAGGCTGTCTATATCCCACTTTACATATAAATCCTGGTGCCCTAAGGTAAGGTTTGAACATCACGAAGTAAAACGAACCAGCATCTCCCTAACTTTAGATTTTATGCTATGTTTAGACTTTATGTCTAAAAGTGCATTGAAATCTCCTGAAAGTCAAATCATATAATAGCATTATTAGCTCTTGTTAGGATTAATGCCAATTAGTACATAGCCAAAATTCCAAAAAGCGTATAGCTTCTTTCTTTAACTTAATAAAGAATTGAGATAGAATGGATTAATTGACCTGTTTTTGAGGACCAGAGAGTGGTCTTTGTAAGTTGGGTTGGGGACAGCTGAATTTTCTGATTTATGAAAACAGCGCCACAAAGCTTTGTCAAGTACAGAAGAGCTTATTCATTATTCACACACACACACACACACACACACACACACACACACACACACACACATCTTGTCAGTGTTGAGGACTGCAAACTTTACCTAGATACGTGTACCAGTGGAGGGCGGGCGCTCAAAACCTATTTGTTCAAAGAATGAATACACTCAGGTGATTTCCAAATGTCTTTTCTGAATTAAACAGTTGATACAATTATTTAAATAAGAAAAAAACAACATATGGGCCCTCACTTATCAGCATTTTACAACCTAATTATGTGACTACTTTGCCAAGCGCACTCCTTTATTGTCAGGAGACAGAAGAATATTGTTCTCAGAGAGTAACATATTTTTCCCTTTAAGATGAAGAATCTGTGCAAACTGCCCAGTCTCCTAAAGAAAAAGACCAATTACATTTGGGCAACAGCAATAGTTTCCCTTCATCAAGGGTGCATATTAACACTTAGGAAGATCATACTAACAGTCTCCCCAAGGCAAAAAGTTTTTAACTTCGATTTCTGAAACAGTTACTAAGATCACAAATCATCTCATCCTTTATCTGAGATTAGCTACTGACCTGTAAATTGTTGCGGTGATAATTCCCTACATTCGTAGACATTGTGGCTAATGTGTGTTTCTAAAACTAATAATTTATGCCTAGCTTAAAATAGCTAAATATGAAATTCGAAAACAAACTTCCCAAAGAGGAACAGACAGCAGATATAAAAGAACACTAGAAGTGGAACGCATCCAACGGGTGCCCTGATGGCATTAAGACTAAATGAAATCATTAAACCTTCTAGCACAAAAAGTGCTTGGATCTCGGATTAAGTGCTTACTGCTGCAGGTTGTAGACTTTCCAATATGTATCTTCGAGTACTCCTTCAAGACATAATTGATAGGGCCTAAAAGTTGTGGCCATACATGTGTTGCTTTTGTTTTCCTCTAGGGTTTTATCTTGTTTCTAAGAAAAATAATTTTTAAAAATTCTGATAGGATTTGGTTTCAGTGTTCAGCCCATAGCTGTTTCTTAAACTCGATGGCATGTAAAGTATTTAAAACTTGCCTTTAAGCCACCTGTTAAGAGGCAAGTAGGCACCTGCATTGGATGATAAGTCTCACTGTGTGCTTCTTAAGTTTTGTTTGTAGACAGATTTGTAAGTTCTTTTTTTTTTTTTAAGTCCAGAAGGTCAGTAAAAGTCACTCTTTGCTCTCTCTCTTTATTTTGACATACATACTTGGCCAAACTCACTCTCAAAATTCCAGAGACAATTGCATTGGAATTTTGTAGGAATCATGCTGAATGTGAATTGGAAATAACCTCCTGCTAACAGCAGTGAGTTCCTCCGTCAGGAATATGGCGAGCTTCCCCATTTGTTCTAATATTTTGTTCTGTTCTATAGCAAGCTTTTGTAGTGAAGTGAATGATTTTATAAATCTAGCATGTTTCTTGTTAATTATTTTCTTATCTTTTAATAATTTTTATCGTTTTTAACAATATTTACTTTCCTGTTTTTAATTGGTTATTGGTGTTAGAAAGCTATTGATTATAAAGGTATCCTATATATCAGCACCTTACCAAACTATCTCATTGGATCTCAAGATTTTCAGCTGACGGACTTAAATTTTTAATAAGAGAATGTTATGTGCAGATGACAATTGTCTCATTTTCTTCCCTACATCTATGCGGCCTCTTTCTTAATTTTATTTTATCACACTGGCTAGGATCTCCAGAAGTATTAAATAGTAACAGTGATGGAGAAATCTTTGACTCCCAACTTACGGAGAACGCCTTTTTTTCCAGCTTTATTGAGGTGTATTGAGACAGAACTTTTATGTTTCACTTTAGCTATGCATTTGCTATTGTTTTTTTGACAGACAGCTTTCTCCTATTGGAGCATCTCTAAGAGTTTTTTCTTCTTAATTAAAAACTGATGTTTAATTCCAGCACATGCCTTTTGAATATATATCATCACATAGATTTTCTCTGTTTACCTAACATTAAATTACGGTGATTAATTTGCATATTATGAACTATCCTTGCACTCCTGAATTAAGCCCTACTTGGCCATGGCTTATCATTAAAAAAAAAAAAAAATTCTCTATTTGGCCTGAGCTGTCTTTTTAAAGGTGTCTATAAACAACAAAAACAGCTTTCTTTGAATGTCTTTTCATGTCTTTATAGAGAACTGAGGAATTAACAGCTCTCTAAGATGATTGACTGACGTCAATGGTTAGGGATTCTCTCTCCCAAGGAGTTATTGTAACTAGAAAAGAGGATTTTTAATTCAGTTACATTATTACAGCAGTAGTAACTAATGTAATTTTCAAATCCTTTATTTTAAATCTATTCTTAGTTTGCGCTTCTTTGTAACTATAGTTGCAAATAAGCTATGCTCACTTGTGATTTTCTAACACTTCAGTATATTATACTAGATAACAAACACCCAATTTTTAAATAGACATAATTACCCTTTGAGAGGCAGATTAAATATTTACAAAGAAATCATGACATGTTTTGGACATAGAACTATTTTTTTGTGAAAAACAAGCCTAACTAAAATAAATGAGAAATGTGTATGAAAGTAATTTATGGGTCTATAAATGTTTTAAGTTGTCTGGTACATATCTTACAAACAATTTATTATTTTTTAAATCTGAGAATCTTGTACTGTCAAATTACGGTTTTCTAAATCAAAACATTTCACTTAAAATACATGAAATGATATTTTATGTCTAATATTGGATAATCATCTTAAGGATTATCCAGGTATATGGTAGCATTTTTATTCCCAGAGATTAGTAACATCAGATTGTCTTAGAACCAGAAATTCTTTGTTATTACAGCTGCATGTTAAGATAGAAAATATTAGGTCTATTATGCCTTGGCAGAGTGTTTCTAACTTATATATATATTTAGTAAAAACTATTACAAAATATTATTCGTATATATTCTTCAAATAAAGGTAAATGGGAAAAATTTTTAAACAATTAAAACTATTTTTTTAAGATTTTATTTTTAAGCAATCTCTACACCCAACATGGGGCTTGAACTCATAAGTCCAAAATCAAGAGTCACATGCTCCACTGTCTAAGTCCACCAGGTGTTCCTACAATAATTTTTAATGAAAACACACACACACACACACACACACACACACACATCCTAAAAGTATTTAATAAATGGAATTTTAAATCGTCATCATTTACACTTGAAAGAGAAGTGGGAACAGTCACTTGCTACCCCACTATTTTCCTATAAAGTTGCTGGTTTGTGATGGAGGCTTTTGAGAGGGATGAGAACCAACAGAAAAATCTACTCCCAAAGTCCATTTGCCTCAGGGATATTTTAATCTTAGGATAAAAAAAATCTTTCATCTTGTTTATCTGCCATATTTTATATTGAGTAAAATTTCCTTCTTTTATTGGTTATTTAACCAAAATCTCTTAAGGGAAAATAAAGTCAACTAAAGCATTTTTGGACTGGGGGTTGGGGTGGAGAGTAACATATTTCATAATAATTATCATAGCTTTAGTATGTTCTTTCCTTTCTAGGGTTAATAACATTTTGAAAATCTTGACTTCTTAAATCCTTTCATGTGTTTTCTGCCCTGGGCTTAGGAGTCACATACAGTTTTCAGAAAAATAACACAAACATAGTATTAAATACTTTTCTCACCTGGACCGACCCCTGACCTTTCTAAATCTGCCCTTTCTTGTACATACCTGTATTTCCTTAAACTTGAAGACACCCCACATTGCCGCTATAAGTCCTGGACCCTTAAATAAAAAGAAAAACTCTAATTAAATTATTTTTCTATGACTTGTACTCTACATATAGTAAGTTGGAGAGCTGACCTAACACTTTCATTGAATAACTTTTTACTGTGAAAACAATATAACAATATTGCCAACTTAAACTATTCCTAATCTCAGCTCTAATTCAACATTAAGCAAGGTAGCATTAGGTAAAAAAGATTTTTTTGTTTCTTTATGATTTTCATATTTGTTGTATTAATGATGCTGTAATACTTTGTGCCATAGAATACTTTTCTTTAATGTTATCTACTTATAATATTTTAATAAGCAAATGGTTTATGTTTTTCTAATGAACTTAGGACACTAGAAATAGGATTATTAGGCGAAAGTATAGGAACAACTGATAATGTTTTTTGGCATGAGGCAATCTCATAATTGAAGAAACTTTAGTATGTTCTTTGGGACCTTGCAAATAACGTACTTTAAAAAAATTTCTTAAACTGATACTATTGCACAGTGATGAACTATGTCTAACATTAAATCCCAATGAATGCTAAAGACAATATTATGGGAAGATAGAAAAGCCATGTAAACCAAGATAAGCAATGAGTTTACTCAGACTAAATAATAAAATAATAAAGGAAAAGGAAAAGAGAAGAAGTGAGGTAGAAAGAAAGGATGATTCTGCAGTTTGAAATGTTCAGCTATTAAAGTTTATTACCCTTTTTTAGCTGAGAATGAAAAAAATTTGGAATTTGGGTTAATTGTGGTCTTTGTGGAGAAGGTGTATTATATCGGCATTTTTAGGATTCCTTTTCAAGCCCTGCACAAACTCTGGAAGACTTTCACATAAACAATTCCGAAGCCCCCTCCACTACTCCAACCGTCTACATGGCTGGGTCAACAAAGCTGGCCTCTACTCCCAGCATGTAAGAGAAGCAATAAAAATACATTACTCTGTTTATCAGCATCTGGAAGATTCAACATCAAAAGAGCCAGAGAAATAGGTCAAAGGAACTGTCTTTAATCAATGACGTAAGACCCTAAGCCTCAAAATCCAAATCAAACAAGGAGCATCTGGGTCCTTCGGGCAATTCCATACTGACTTTGGACAGGATAGGAGGAAACAATAGAATGGGGGCTATAATATTAATGTTATCATGCCAATCACTCAAGAATTTTATCCTCTCTAATCAGAAAGTTTATATCCATTCAGAGAACATAATAGAAGACAATGTCAAAAGGTATCACTGCCCTTTTAGGCCTTTTGGCTGATGATTTTCTAAATATTAGTTTATACATGGTTTAGGGTTATTGTAGGGAGTGATGTGGTTATAGGAATGGGCTTTGCTAAAAGCCATGCAAGCATAAGTCAAAGTGTGTACATCCTCTTTGATTCAGGCAGAAGACAGCCAGAGAGGAAGGACATTTTAGATAAGAAAGATAGCTGGGGTTTTTTTTTTTTTTTTTTTTGGCATTTGGGATTGCATATTTTCCTTCCATAAAGAGAATATAAATTACACATTTGTAAATCAGCCTTTGAAAACAAAGTGAGCTTGAGCTATCTTGAGAAGCTGAACTTCTGTATATACTGTAAATATTTTTGAGGAATATTATTTATTGTTACTCAGTGTTCCCTGTAAAAAATCCCATGTGATACATTCTATTAAGAAATTAGTGCCAGAGGCACCAGGGTGGCTCAGTCAGTTAAGCATCCAACTTTGGCTCAGGTCATGATCTCATGGTTTGTGAGTTCGAGCCCTGCGTCGGGCTCTGTGCTGACAGCTCAGAGCATGGAGCCTGCTTCAGATTCTATGTCTCCCTCTCTTTTTGCCTCTTCCCCACTTGTGCTCTGTCTCTGCCTCTCAAAAATAAATAACTGTAAAAAAAGTTAAAAAAAGAAACACAAAGAATTTAGTGCCAGAAAACAGATGGTCTCTTCTGAGGAAATAATATGTTAAAAAGAATTAGCTACCCCATTGTATTACTCCCTTTTGTGAGCACAGAGCAAAACTTAATGTTTAATCACATAACTCATCCAGAGACAGTAATTTGCTTTAGCACTTCCTGAAAGCTTTTAAAAAGAACCATATGAAGTACATATGAGGAAACTGAAGTACTTTCTGTCTCACAAGGTTGTCATGAGCTTCAAGCGTCAGAATAGACACAAAAGCATTTTTAATTTATAAACTGTTATCTAGAGATGAATATTGTTATAAACAGCAAATTATAATGTATCCAAAATAACATTGGGTGAGATGACCAGACAAAAACTGCAAGGATATCAAAGATTAATAAACCTGCTAAAATGAGATTAGCAATCAAGGCCATGCTGGTGAATCAAGGGTGCTGGTGAATCCACACGAGCCTACTATTCACATTATACTCTTAAAAATATCAAACCCTATGATACTCCTCAGGGCTTCACTGAGGATGCTTCAGAAAAATCAGATTTACATTTAAGAAACAAAACTGCAGAAAAACGAGTTTGCTACTTACAGCAGTGATTATTGGAAAACTGACCACAGCACTGAGAGAGTGGTTAGCTATGAACCAACAGCAGGTAGCTATTGCCCAAAGAGCTCCTGACAGGAAACCTGAAACACATGCAAACAGTGCACACTTACAAGCTATGTTCCTGAAAAATCCACGCTGTACATAGAGCAGGAATATTAAGTTGCTCACGTCAGCTCATTCCTATCGACATTGTTGGCCAACATGGATTTTTGAGCTGTGTTTTATGATCATTTTGGAAACCAAGTCAATTTTTTTTTGTACTTGATGGCGGTGGGTATAATTGTCAATCTTTTTACTTTATTGACATTACATAAAATACTTAATGTTGTGGTTGAGGTAAAGATTGGGCAGTGGAGAAGGATCAAGGGAAGATATTGGATCTGAGCATGCTCTGCGAACACCATTTACTCTAAGCTATGAACATAAAGATGCTTAGAGCTAAGGGGGAAAAAAAGACCTCCTAGAATTTGAAAGAAAATACAGATACAAATTTCAGGATAGTTTAGCTAGGTGTTCAGTACATACTTTATCATTTTTTATAATGGTATAGTGGCATGCTTTGACCTTACTGAATCAGGTATTCAAAATGAATCTCTGACATATGTTTTATTTTGTACTTAAAAAAATGTTGCTTGTGGACTTATGTTCCAAATTGCATTATGGGAGATTCTGAAATGAGAGAGAAATTATACATATATATTTTTTTTTTACCACCAATGGCGAGTGGATTAAGTCCAAAGCATGTGCATTCAACATATGACTTTTTCAAACTCTAAAATTGCTTCTCCTTATTTTTCAGAGAAGATGTTTGTTGATCTATGTGACTACAAATTTCTATTTGTTGACACTTTAAAAAATAGTCATAGGACTCTGACTTTTAATAAGCATGCTTAGATAATGAAGAAGAAATAATAACGTCTGATGCTCAATTTACAAGATATTTTGGCATAAGAAACCAGTGAACCTTAGCTTCACTGTTCAAGTTTCAGGGTCTGGAATTACCGTATTTCATGTCCAGTTTCATGGCTTTTAAATCCTTCATATTTAGCAGTGAGTTGGGTCAAAGCAATTAGGGAAAAAACATATACACAGACACACACGCACAGGATGGCTTGGTTTCCAGATGACAATTTTTCAAGTTAGGCGATTATACACTCACAGAGTAAGAAGATTTCGTGTAGTAAATATTCTTACCTGGCAAGACTGCTTCAGGATATAGCTTAGGGTTATTTTTCATGGCTATACAGTAGGCGAGAAAGTAGACTGTACTTGTAAGAAAGATGCCGCTGAAGTGTGCAAAAACATAGTCTAAATCTGAAAACACATATTATAAAACTCTAAATTGCATCATTTTATTCATTTCAAATATATTTAGAATTCTAATAATAAAACAAATCCACCAAAATTAACCTTAAAAGTAAAGAGCCATTAATTATATTTTATTATCTTAGTTTTCGACATGCTGGTTAGATGCAATTTAAATTAACATATTTAAAACTTAGAAATATGAAGTGGTAAATTAGTTATTATAATCAAGTCTGAAAGATTGTTTATTATGATTATCTTGGAAAGATAAATAGAAAGCTATAAACATTATGTGAATATGATTTTCTTTTTAAGAATTGTATTCAGGCTGGGGTGCCTAGGTGGCTCAGTCTGTCAAGCGTCTGACTCTTGATTTTGGCTCAAGTCATGACCTCATGGTACATGAGATTGAGCCCTGCGCTGGGCTCTAGGTTGACAGTGTGAAGTCAGCTTGGGATTCTCTCTCTCCATCTCTCTCTGCCCCTCCCCTGCTCATGCACGTGCTCTCTTTCTCTCTCTTTCAAAATAAATAAATAAACAATAAAAACAAAATAGTATTCAGACTTAATTTTATTAATGGCTACAGCAATTGTAGCAAATTTCGTAGACTGTATTTGGAGTATGTGTGAAAAAATTATGGGAGTGCTAATTTTATATGGCGACCAATTTGGAGACCAGCATCTCTGTTGCAGATGACAGCTATATGGAAGGATATTTAGGAAGTTATCCCAAAGAGAGTTTTATTCAATTGTTTACTATAAATCTCATTACATCATGATGGTCCAGTATCTGAGAAACCCCAACCCCACTGATTGTTTGATTAGATTGTACACTTTGGTCATCCAGGTGGGTGTACTACAACTTCTTGACTGAGAAGGCCACATTGGATGTTCCCCTCAACTAAAATTTTGACAGAGATGAGTGGCTATGTTTAAGGAGAAAAGCTTGAACATCAACGAGTTTGTCTAGTCTTCTAAAATCTTAAACCCTACTTCTGGATCAACACATCTATGGACCACCACAAGAGGCATATAACATAGTTATTAAAAGCGCAGACCACCTGGGTGGGATATTCAATCCATTACTTGCTAACTTTGAGACTCAGGCAAATTACCTAATCTCTCTCTGTCTTAATTTCCCAACTGTAAAACAAGGATACGATGGTATATAACCAAAAATGTTTCTATGAGGGTCAACTGAGTTATTATTGTAATGCACTTAGAATAGTGTCTAGCACAGTGCATGTACTACTTATGTGTTTGTTAAATAAATGAAATAAAAAATTATAACTCCCTAGGATTATTTTGAATACATTAGAATAAAGTATATTCCTACTAGACTACATTAAAATTGTCATAAGATAAATCCCTAAGAATTGATTGTACTATTTACATACAAAGATTCTTGAGGACATTGTTTATTATATAGTCCCAGGACCAAGAACAACTGTACTTCTGGGTAATTAATTCTTTTTATCTTGCATTCACTGAGTTGTGGGACTTATCTGATTTCCCTTGTGTCTATAAGAAACCTTAGAGCCAAATTTATGGCTTATATCTAGCCAGTGTACAGATGTGTCACAAATTTTAGACTCACTTCTGGTTCCATTTTATTTTTTCACTCTTTTTTTCCTTCTCTTTTAATTTATCCCATGTTATTCTATTTTTATTGGGTTTTGTCCTTTACAAATGAAAATAATAAAAACACAAAAGTATTTGGAAGACAGAAGTTAGTAAAAGGTTTGAGTGGTATCCATGGGGCTGAAGATAAAAGGAAAGCAAGAAACAACAGTCTTCCTTTTTCACTGTATCCACTCAGTTAAAGTTGTTCAAATCCCAGCTTTTCTATCAGCCTTTCCTTCACGACCTTTGCTCTCCAAATCTTTCCCTTATCTGAATATAGATCACATTGATTTTCAGTACCATCTAATTTAGAACTTGATTACCCACCATCTCATTTTTTTATGATTTCATGGATGGAAACCATGATTCAGCATAATGAAAGGATCCCTGCAGTAGACACTCTCATCTGCTGATGAGCCTGTACACGGCTATTTCATATAGTGTTGAGTTTACACCAGAGAGCCTAATTCTATCACTAGAAACTGATACAATTTGGCTTTTCAATGCACTACTTTATGCTTTAAGAACAATATCCTCTAGCTAGGCTATCCTTTGACCTTTATTTGATTTTAAAGTGATATGTACTGCACTTTAGCTTTTTTTTTTTAATTTTTATTTATTTCTAGGAGAGAGAGAGAGAGAGACAGCGTGAGCAGGGGAGGGTCAGAGAGAGAGGGAGACACAGACTCTGAAATAGGCTCCAGGCTCTGAGCTGGCAGTCAGCACAGAGCCGGACGTGGGGCTCGAACCCACGAAACGTGAGATCATGACCTAAGCGAAAGACGGACGCTTAACTGACTAAGCCACCCAGGCGCCCCCTTTTTTAAAATTTTTTTTGAGAAGAGTACATATTTCCCCAGAGATTAACAAACTGGAAAATAATCTCCAAATATTACTATAAAGCCAGGAGCCAGGTGTTAAGATCCAAGTAGCTGATATAAATCCTGACTAGAGTTAATTATATTTATATTTTGATGATCATGTGAAAATACTCAAACAGTCCTTTATTACTTTTATTCTTCATTGACTTCCTAAGTCACCACTTACAATGAAAAAGATCCAATCTATGTGCCCGGATTTACTATGTAATCACATTCTTTTTATATTCTTATGTAGAAAAACAGGTATTGAGTTTATTTATAAAGTGAAATGATGTTTTACTCTTACCATACTGGCTTGCCCCTGCATATATACTATCATTTCTTTTGCTGTGGTCCTTGATATAAATGACTGGCACAAATGTCGACCCGTAGAATATTCCAGATATCACTGCAAGACTGCAGCCCCTTAAAAAACAAATACATCACTGTTAATCTTGGCCCACAGCAATATTTCTGACAAACACACAAATGGAATCATAATGAAAGCATGCTTCAGAGTATAAATCACAAGCAGTTATGCAGAAATCACTCATCTATCTCAAGCTCTGTGACTGTCAAAAGTCAAAGAAATACCCTTCAGGGTCAGAGCAGCATCAGGACACAGACTGCAGCTTCAGTCCCCTGCTGTCCAATACTGGAAGTACACAATTTACAGAAGTTATAATGGATTATCATTGTAAATTGTTATTACATAGATAGGATCGTTGCTATCATTATGCCATCTACATAATAAACTTGGCTCTCTAAACATGAACTATTTGTGAACTGACGCTATGTCCTCTGCTTCTTTTTAAAACAATAATACCCAGCACAGGGCTAGGAGAGACAAAATACTAACTGCATGCTTGTTCACAACAACTATTGAAATCCATAGACTTGCCTATGCCTCAGTTGACTAGGGTATGGTCAAGATGTGCTTACTGAATCAAATAATTTGGATATTTATTTCCAATAAAACATTACTTTTGGTAAAAAGAAAATGTTTCATCTTTAGCACGGGGGTCATGTTGACTCCTCAGACTTGGGACTTAGTTGCATGAAGCAAGTATTCCCGATAATTTTGGGGAGAAATGGTTAATAAAGGGGCACCTTGGTAGCTCAGGGAGAAATGGTTAATAAAGGGGCACCTTGGTGGCTCAGTCCATTAAGCGTCTGACTTCGGCTCAGGTCATGATCTCACGGTTCGTGGATTTGAACCCCGTGTTGGGCTCTGTGCTGACAGCCAGCTCAGAGCCTGGAGCCTGTTTCAGATTCTGCATCTCCCTCACTCTCTCTGACCCTCCCCTGCTCACTGTCTCTCTCTCTCTCCCTCTCTCTCTCTCTCTCTCTCAGAAATAATTAAAACATTAAAAAAAAGAAAAATGTTAATATATTGGAACAATCCCTTTAAATTAATATAAAGGGAAATGGCATGAGACAGGAAAGTTTTAGGAAAAAAAAACAAACAAAAACCAAACCCATTTCTTTCCAAGCTAAATGCACATTCTTAAGTCTATTTTAAGAGGAGCTCACAGGGCCCATCGGCTTTATCCACATTGGAAATCCCTGTATCATGGTGAAGCCTGGACTTCATAGTCCTGAAAGAGGTATCCTAGACACAGAGTGGACTAATAGACCAGGTCTAGCCAATCATGAGACAATAAAAAATGGTCCGAAAAAGACAGATATCACATGATTTCACTCATATGTGGAATTTGGGAACTTAACAGATGATCATAGGGGAAGGGAAGGAAAAACAGAGAGGGAGGCAAACCATGAGAGACTCTTATTAAATAAAGGGTTGATGGGGGTGGGGTAAATGGGTGATGGGCATTAAGAAGGGCACTTGTTGGGATGAGCACTGGGTGTCATATGTTAAGTAGTGAATCACTAGATTCAACTCCTCAAGCCAAGACTACACTGTATGTTAACTAACCTGAGAATTAAAAAATAAATATATATTAAAAAATGGTTTCCTTAATTAATCCATTAGAAAGGAGAAACTTTATGAAAAAAATGTGTGTTTTTTGAGAGACCTGTTTTACTTTGAAGCAAAAATGGCAACATATTCATCTTCCAAAACTTATTTGTGAGCTCATTCTTTCATTCACTCAATTGATTTAAACATTTATCGAGCATTTATTATGCACCGGTCATTGCCTCTTTTGCACTGTGAGGATAGCGTACATACTAATAGGAAATGCTTTATAGTCTTAGAGTGCTTATGTGTGTCACCATATAAGGTTCAAAACAGTCATTGACTGTAAATCACAAGCTGTATACTTACATATTTTCACATTTCTCTGCTAATCCAAAAACGTCCCACGAGAAACCCTAAAATATAGAGGCTGATGGTGAGCCAAACTCTCTCAGCCTTTATGACAGTGGGGGGTAGAACTACGTGGACTTTCTCCACGTGGCATTTCTAGTATGTTTGAAAATGAATATCTTGACATTATAAAATCGTCTAGCACATGAGTATAGGGACTTGAGGGGGAGGGCTGGCGTCCTGGACAGTCCAATATTAGAGAAGTGTACTGCCTAATGCGACTTGATTGCTGACAGCATGTTGGCCATTCTATGCTGTGGCCTATATTACCTCTTTTACTTTAGGCACAAAATTGCTGCAAAATGAGATTGCTTTTCTCAGCTTCTTATTGGTTAGAAGTATTGCAGTGGCTTAAGAATTCCCTGAAACACTGAGATCAAGGACCTCTGTACCTAAAAATTCAGCAGAGGACAAGAAAGTCTCTCCACCGTGGATCCACAGGAGTCAATGCTTATGTTACCATTTTCTTCTTGAACTCAGATGAGTATCACTTCACTCCGGTAATCCTTGCTATAACCAAATAGGAAAGAGAATAACGGAACCTCTTCTTACACTATGCGCTGTTGCACTGTGGAGAGTTTATCCACCCAGGAATAATCACGACAGGGATCTGGAATTTTGTTGATTGCCTATTGAAAATATTAGCACAAACCAAAACAGCAACATCATTCATTGATAATCATATTGGTGACAAAAAGATTTTCAGTGTTCTTTTTTCTCTTCTTTCTCAAACAGACTTTAAAATATGAACACGTGACACTATGCATTCTGATTCCACGGATATCTCCAGACTCAAATGTTTCTGATTCTGTTCCTCTTTCATTCAGAATGGTTTGGCAATTGGTGACTTCTCTGTTTAAATTTTTTTCAGTTAAATTTTTTAATACATGACTATTTTTATACACTTATCAAAAGTAACAGAAGTTAACAACGCTTGTGTTTTCTTTGCATTTTTTAATAATCTGTAAAAAAAATTAGAACCAAGGAAAACTCAGACTTTTTTAAGGAATACCTAAGATTGATAGGCACTTTTCTTAGTTTTTTTTTTTTTTTTAACTGAATTAGTCAGTAAAACATGTCTAGCCATGTTTCATGATTAGGTTAATATTCTGAGTCTGGAAAAATTATAAGGAAGTTTATAATATTTATAATATTGGATGTGATCATCTTTGCCTTTTGGCTGCCATTTGGAAGTTTCCTTGATGTAATGCTCCCACTGCTTTTGTAAGAGATAAGAAATTAGATTTGAGTTCTTTGCCATGTATTAAGTCAAGCTTTCCTTTGGCAGTAATGCTTTCTATTTTTTTTAATTCAAAAAGTTTTTAAAAATATTTTTATTTATTTCTAAGAGAGAGAGAGACACACAGCGTGAGCAGGGGAGAGTCAGAGAGAGAGGGAGACATAGAATCTGAAGCAGGCTCCAGGCTCTGAGCTAGCTGTCAGCACAGAGCCTGACACGGAGCTTGAACCCATGAACCATGAGATCATGACCAGAGCTGACGTCGGATGCTTAACAGACGGAGCCACCCAGGCACCCCAGTAATGCTTTCTTTTGTGATGAGGAGCTCCTAACGTATGGTTGTGTAATATCCAATCATGCTGCTTATGTATCTTTACATTTGGTTTGTTAATATCCTTCTGTCTTGCTTAGGAAAATCTAAGGCAGTTAGCCTACAATGTATCTTTTACCAAGTGATATTTCTCTTTCTTTCCTTGGTTTGAAGAGTGGTTGGTCAGGAGGTATCTGAATCCCTAGGGTCGGCAAGGAACATGGGAAGGCACCTTTACTCCCTTTACTCAGTCCTAATTTGTCTATTCTCTCTGCGGCATTTTTCAGAATAGGTGTCTATGGGTTAACAAATCTCTTTCCCTTACACTTAAGCTAATTATTAGTTAATTTTGTCAACTTAACTAAGGGTTCAGTCACCTTATTTGATGAGGGTTTTGATAGGGGAAGAAGAAAGGGAGAAGAAAATGTTAACTCTGAAGTAAGGAGTACAGGCAGCACCCCCCAGGGAGACAGTACCTCAGTGGGGGCATGGGACTCCAGTTTCAGAGGGCAGCTGGATAGCGCTGGAGCCATGGCAGATAAGAGAGATACTTGAAATAGAAAGGACTAGAGTCTGGGCTAATGGCAATGGGGGTTCATCCTGAGGTAATTTCTGTATATGTGGCCACCGGCGCCAGTGTTCTGTGAGATTTCTTGCAAATGTTTTCTCTATTTAATTTAGATTTGCTACTCCAGACTCATTTAAGTTCTTTAAAGTCAACCAGTGATTTGTTACATATTTCTTGTCTTTATCTTGAGTGGAAAGGATGTGGCGAAAAGAGAAAAAGGAAGAAAATCAAGTCCTACTCCAACTTTCCTACGACTTGACTTATTCTTTCATTGGCTGCCTCTGATCTGTTTCCACTGCTTTCTCAGAGCCCTACTTTCAGATCTCCTTTCTCCCTCTTTCTAAAGTAACTTTCAAATTCTTCTTCAGCATCTGGGGTCCTCCTATTGCAGAAATCCTTAAGCTAAAATATGGCTTGTATATACATCTCCTAGTTGGGATCTACCAATAATAGATGGAAGCAGGCCTCTGTGATTGGTGAGAAGCTTTCCTGTGGCAATTTTGATGGACTGCTACGTTGACGTAACTATAATACATATACAATATGCAAACATATTTTAGACAGACCAGATGAAGATAAAAGGAACTACCTCCCCATCTTTGTTTCAAATCCATGCACTTTCCTTCTAACTTAATTTTATGTTTCAAATCATATGGTTTTTCATACTCTACTCACATGCTCTGTCATTAACGGTGTGGTATCCACAGAACTCGTGTTTCTTGGTATTTCGCTTTTGATGAACAAAAATATGAAAGCACTGTAACAAAAGTAAATTTTAGTGATGGCTATCATCAGCCTGGTTCATATCAAGCTGCCTGAATTTTATGAGAAAACAGCTTAATTCTAGTCCTGATGATATGATTACTTCCAAACTGCCTCTTCGGTGGCCCTGTCTTTTCTCTACGATGGCCATTCTTTTTGACAGCTCTCATCCTTAATTGCAACAAGTTAGAGGCTTAACTTATAAGATTTCCCCTTAAATCAGATTTTTCTCTTGACTTTATTGTTTCAGCCAATAGCTATATTTTTCTTTCAATTCTTACTTAACTCTGGAATCACATGGTAAAAAATTACACATGAAAACCAACATGAATGACTATTTCTCACCTATTATACTGACAAAACCTTAAAAGTTTAACAACACCCTCAGGTGGACAAACTATAGAAGACGGGTGCCACTGATGTGAGTGCAGAACTGTGTAACCTACATGGAGGGGACTCTGGGACCCTACAACACAGGACACCCACACTCAGGTGAGGCAACCTTCAGGGTTACACAGTGGGATGTTACATGGCTATAAAGAAAGAAATGAGGATGCCCTCTGTGCTCTGATATGGAAAGATATCCAGAGCATATTTTAAGAGATAAAGCACACACACATACACCTGATGATTTCTTCCCATTTAACATTCTCTCATAATGCATTGTCTATTCATGTCCAGTATCTTTGTAACAAATGTTTCACTTAACATTGACTTTTGAATCATGCAAATAGGTTAAAATGTGTTGAAATACTGAATTAACTTAAGGAAACTAATAGCTGTGGTATACTATTGGCATTCCTTTAAAAAACTTTATGTTTTTTTTAATGGTATGTATGTATGTATGTATGTACATATGTATGTATGTATGTGTGTATTTTGAAAGAGAGACAGAGTGAGAGCAGGGGAGGGACAAAAAGAGAGGGAGACACAGAATCTAAAGCAGGCTCCAGGCTCCGAGCTGTCAGCACAGAGCCTGACAAGGTCTTGAGCCCACGGACCGGCCCGTGAGGTCATGACCTGAGCTGAAGTCGGATGATTAACTGACTGAGCCACCCAGGCTCCCCTTGGCATTCCTTTTAAAAATACATTTGCATGGTTCAAAAGTTAAGACAAGTTTTCAAAGTACATATGACATTGAAATATCATAGTAGCTAAGTGCAGAATACTGCATATAATGTGTTATTTTTTAATACAAATTAAAATTTCTTAGTTTCCTTGTTTAGTCTCTTACATGCTTTAAAAGCTTGAATGGTTCCATACTACCCTCTAAAGCAAATTTAACTTTCCTTTTTGAATTCTGTTGCTCTCAGCATTATGTTCCTCACAACCTACTAGACATAGTTTTCCACATGGACTTTCATCCCTGACCAGTCCCTGCTTCAGCTTCTCCTTCACCGTCTTCAACCAACTGCTCCTGCTTGTGTTTCTTCCTTAGCTAGAAACACCACGAACTCCCCGTTTCTTATCCAAACTAAAGAAGAATTGAAGCGCTGAATGTGAGAGGAACCCTCCCTCCTCCAGGCTCAGTCCTCACAGAATCTTGCTCTTCTCTGAATTCCCACAACACTAAGGATAGTCATCATATAAACCAGACCATTTACCACAGTCCTTGAAAAGTTTTTTCTCTACAGCTTTTCTAATTCAATGGAAGATAAAATCTCCTTCAAGGTTCTCAAAGTACTTAACACTCGGTAAAAATGAATGCATAAAACCTAATTAAATGTGTATGTCTTAGTTAAACATGTGCTTACATACGTGTTACTTTTCAAAGCTATCATTAGACATTTCAACTGCATTTCCTCACAAAGTTACAGTGAAAACTTTCTACTTTGTATCGACTGGTGTATCTTCCTAATAACAATACAGGATGATGCATTAGACATACTTGAAAGGTACCAATGAAAGTCTTTGAGTGTTTCTTCAAACAACTGTATGACCCCCCCCCCTGCAAATCAATTAGCCTTTCTGACCCTCAGCTTTTTTCATCTAAGGAAATGGGAATGTACCCACTTTTTCATCTAAGGAAATGGGGATGTACCTACTTAATTCTTTATAGAAAAGAATTTATAAAATTCTCAGTGTGCTTTTTGGAACATGGTAAAATCTCAAAATATGTTAGTAAATAGTCTTGGATGGGAGAGGGGGTTTTGAGCATGAGCCAAAAATCAAGACTAAGCAAGCAGTGGTTTTTAGCTTGTGTGAGTCATGTTTGTCACAAAATAGGTAAGTCAGCTCAATTAGATATAGAGGGGGTACAGGGCACTAAATTAAGACAAGGTAATGACATTTATCTTATGTATATAAGCCTAAAACCAAATACATCACAAGGTCTTTTGGGCTTTAGTCTTATAGAACTTGGTACAGTGTGTCAGACACAAAGTTTCATGATAAAGTCTATGAATATTGTCAAAAGCATGGGGGGAAAATCAATACGTTTTACCCAGAGGTGCTGCTCTAAATTTTCAACCTTTCCAGTTCTCCTAGATTTGTGATCTTATATATCTTATTATTAGTAAAGCTGGTGTATATGTGTTTACACTGACAACTGAATCCAACAAGCCTTTACTGAGCAGCTATCAAGTATCAAACACTGTGGCAAAGTCTAATGGTGATGGTGGTATTAAAAAAAAATAACAGATTTTGCCCTTCAGGATCTTGTAGTTCAAGGATAAAGGAATTGCATGAATGATATAAAATAGACCCTGAAAATTTCCATAATAGAAGACATACAAAATGCAGTGGAAGTTTGGGAACGACTCATTCTAATTAGGAAGAAATCAAGAAAACAACATATAAGATGGAAACTCTCCACTGATATGTAAGGGTGGCCACGGAGGCTGAGGAAAGGGTCTTAGGGCTGAGGGAAACTTCTGTAGCATGGTGTGATAAATAATCCTAATGCAGTGAATTGACAATACAGGGAGAAGGCTGATCTGGGAAGAAGGGTTGATCTGTAACTGTGGAGGACAGGCCAGATCAAGGAGACAGATTTATTCTGAATCCAATGAGGAATCTTCCAAGGTTCTTAACTAGAAGAATGATGACTGATTTGATAGCAGATACAAACAAGTTAATTTGGCAATAGGAATAAATGGAACTAGGGAAAGTAGATGTGAGAGATTTTTATAATCATATACAGATGAATATATAGTAGGGAATCAGCAGAAAGGAGAGGAAGAGCCTGTGAAACATTAAGAAAATTTTTTTTGCAGGATTAGATATAGAATGGATATGAAAAGAAAAAAACCTCAAGAACACCAAGGCTTTGAATCTGAATAACTGTGGCTAGTACATTCTACAAGAGGGGAAACACAGGAAGCGGAACCAGTTTGCAGGGAAGGGTAGAACAAGAAAAGTAATTCTGACTGTGAAATACTGAAGGCAGAGAGAAAAGAACTAAAAGTCTAGTGTTTGTGGAATGCTGACCATGTTCCTGACCCACCACGGTCTTCTTTCGTGCCTTATCTCCCTTCAGATTGGGTAGGAGGTGCCTGGGGGGCATCTATCTTGTAGAGATAGAGATATACAACTTGGTCCGTAGGAGATATAAGGACTGTGGCTCTGAAGAAAGTAATGGCTAGATACAAAGACCAGATTTCCTCACAACACAACTCTCCAGGATAAGCAAGTTAAGTGAGAAAAAAACAGGGAGTAGACTGAAGGATAATCCAAAGCATTTTTTAATTGGAAAGGAAATCTGCTTTTTTATGAACTCTGACTTCCGGATCTTCATTAAAGTTTAAGAGAACATTGTTTTTTAGTTTTAGCTCTACTCTCATCACCACCTTTATATATTCTCTCCTGAACCATGGGGACTAGAAGGCTGAAAACTTCTCTTCCCCAACTGTGTTAGCAGCTAAGTTTGACAATGGGAGGCATCCAGATAGGCTTAAAGACTGGAGGAGGAAGCCATTTTGTTTTGATGGTGGCTCTGGTGGTTTCAGGAGCAGTGGTAACTCAGGGCAGAGGTAACTGTATTGGTTGGAGGATGAGCCCCAGGGCTTTGGGCAGAGCCCCTTCCTCCTTTTGCTTCACTGGGCCTTATCACAGTTTTGTAAAGCATTTCCTATTTGAAATCCTCTGCTGTTTAAAATACCTAGAGTGGTTTTGGTTGTAGAGCCTGACCGAGACTTACCTTACATATCGGAAAAATGTAAGACTGGAAATAATCTAACCAATCTTTTAAAAACCGGGCTGTATAGAGGATAGGAGCAATGGTTCTAATTTTAAAAAGAAAACCAATATTCCAAACAAATGTGACCGCATTCCAAATTTCCTTATACTGGCCATGAAACTCCAGACTTATTCAGTGGATGCCCTACGAACAAACTGATTTAACTGAGTTCAAATAATGAAATGAAAGTTCCCAGAAGGTCTGCTTGCTGAAGAAACATAGAAGAGAGCCGGAATACACTGCAGGAAGAGATCATTGCATGGCTGTGCCACACACCAAGCTTCCAATCAAGCTGTGTGATTCCCCATGTGCACTGACTAGTTTACCACAGAGATGGACAACACATGACCAAAGGGGAAACAGGAGTTGAAAATGAACTAGTTATTAATAAAAGTAATGATTCTTCTACTAAAAGTTACCCAATTTATAGAGGATTAATCACGTGCCTCGCCATATGCAAAGCACGTAACGTATTTCTATTCATTTCATCTTCAAAATATCTGACAAAGCTGGTACATTTATTTTCCCCACTTTAACCCTAGATGAAGAAACCAAGGCCTAGAGAAGTTAAGAGATTTGCCCAAGGTCATATAAGTATAAGTGGTAGAACATGAATAATTTGCAATTTTAGAGAATGTACACTTTCTAAAGAAAGAAGAAATATGGAGAGAAACAGCCTGATGGACTGAGTAAATTGGCCTTAAATTACCATAAAGTCAGGCCTAAAAGCATGCTGCATTACAATTTGGGAGTGTAAAGAAATTGTTTTTGAGAGAGCTCTTCAAAGCTAGCATGCCGTATGAATTGTACAAAATACATAAAATAGCCTCTAACCAAAAATGTCAGGAATCTGCTGTTTTAGAATAAACTATGTTATTTCTTCTCCAATTGGCCTGGAACCACTCTCTTAGGCAACATTTCAATGACAAAGAGATTGTTCTTGAATGTGGCTGGGGAAAAGCCATCATCGCAAGAGGAAGAGAAATATAGTGTTCTTTCCCTGAAGAATAAAAAAGTACTAAAATCTTTCCAGGCAGTACCATCCATTATGTGAAGCACTGACAGGGAATATAAATGGAGTAGAGAAAGGAAAGGGGACTGAATTTAAGGTGACCCAATTCTTGTTGGAGTTTTATTGATTGACCACTGCCGTATAGGGATTTAAAGTCATTTTCATCCTCATTCATATAGTGCATTCCACTAGATACAGATACATCCAAAAATACATATTTAAATGAATATGTGTTTTCATATATGAAAGAGTAGTTATCTAACTGGAGTAAGAAGGAGAGATTAGGTGGCAGGAATGTGGAAACTCGGTGGCAAGGAGTAAGTAAGTAATGATAAAAGGAGAGAATCAATGGCTATTCCAGGGGCATCAGGGAGACAGCATAACATTTATTTATATAGTGTTTTTTGGTTTGCAAAATAATGTGCCACTTGATTCTAATGCATGAGCTATGTGCTATGATTTTTCTAAAAATCACAGATAATAAAAATGAGCTTCAGAAGAGCTAGCTGATTTTCCTGGGTTCTCAGAGCTTTTGAGAACTAAAGCTGGGCCTGTGACTCCAGACCTGGCCCTTTTTGTCCTCGAAGGTCAAATCTGTGAATGTGGATAAAGAATCTGAGGACAAATCATGTGGCTTTTAGCAAATGCAGGTTAAAAAAATGTAAACACATGGGGATCTCTGAAAGATACTCTAGACGTTTGGAAGAATGGTTGAATTAGAAAGGACTGTGTACCTTACTACCGATAATCCAGCTCCAATGTAATTTAGCACTGGTTTTGATACTTCTTCTGCATCCATTCCAAACCAGCCAAACCTGGAATTGAGAAAGTTACATCACAGGAGGTATTTTTGGTGTTCACAGTCGTGTTACATTAAGAGCATGGACTTAGGGTCAGATTCCTAAATTCAAATCCTAAATCCCTCTCTTACTAACTGTGACTTGAATAACTTAACTACCTTACTCTGCTCAGTGCCCCATGTTTAAAATGGGGTACCTATACGGTCAGTATGATTGTTATATATACACCTTCTTTCTTATGAAGATTAAATTAGTTAGTATCTGTAAAAGTGAGTGTCCCTTTCTTGTTAAGACTAACGAAGAAGGAAGACAAATGATTAAGAGGCTAATTGAATGCTAACTCATTGGCTGCAATTTTGTATAGCATTTATTGAAATAGACTTTTAAACAACTGCTTGGTTAAAGAGCACTCCTTTTTGGCATCACACTAATTTTTTTTTTCATGACTTGACTTTATAGCAGTGACAACAATCACTGTGAACCATTCAGGGCAAGAGTGAAAGAGGCAACAAGGAAAAGCAAAAGAAAATAGAATTTGTAAGGTCGGAGGTCAGTTTCTTTTGCTGTTACTGAGGTTGTTATAATGCTTTGACAGGGAAGAGGAGCCCAAAAAGTAAGGTAAGGGTGACATCCTCTCTTCTTTTTTTTATAAGTATATTTATTTATTTTGAGAGAGACAGACAGACAGACAGAGACAGAGAGACAGAGAGAGAACAGGAGGGGCAGAGAGAGAGAGAGAGAGAGAGAGAGAGAGAGAATCCCATGCAGACTCTGCACTATCAGCACAGAACCCAATGTGGGGCTTGAACTCACAAACCATGAGAGTTTGAAGTGAATTGGAACCAACAGTTAGATGCTTAACCAACTGAGCCACCCAGGCACCCTGACATCCTCCCTTCTACTTGTCTTTCCAAATTCAACTTAAATGTTAATTTTAATGCTTAACAAAGGCAGCACAAATAGCACTTTCTATGATGATGGGACACTTCTTCTAGTGCACTATATACCAGGGTAATTTCTAATCATACGTGGCTATTGAGCACATGGTTCGTGGGTAGTGTGGCTGTGAAACTGAATGTTTAATTTTATCAAATTTTAGCTAATTTAACTTGACACATAAATGGACATCTGTGGCTTGTGGTGACCCTGTTGGACCCCTCTAGAGTTGGGGCTGACACACTTTTTGTTAAAGGGCCAGAGAGTAAATATTTTATGCTTTGTGATCCAGACTGTCTCTTGTGAGCCAGACTGTCTACTCGACTCTACCAAGATAGTGTAAAAGCAGCCATAGACAAAATGTAAATGGATGGATTTGGCTGTGTTCCAATAAAACTTTATTTACAAAAATGGCTGGTTTGGTGGCCCTGACCCAGGCTCTAAAAAGAAAATGGGCTTTAGAACTAGAAGACCTGGACTTGAAGCCTATCCTATTCGTTCTGTGATATTCAGCAAGTTATTCTACCTCTTTGTCTTGTAGGTCCCTAATGAGGTAGTGCTTACCTCATCTTTGTGAAAATGAGATGAGAATGATGCATATAATATGTCCAGCAAACTGTCACACAATAAAAAGGGAAAATAAACACCTTCCTCCTTCCTTCTTCTGCTCCAAGGAGATAATTCTTTACTATATCTTAACCAAATATCTAGACCAGATATCAGAACTTAGAGCAAATAATAATTAGAAGTAGCATATTTTATGTGTATGTCTTACCAACTGTAATCTCTGTGAGGGTAAGAACCATGTTATTCCTCTCATCTAGCCCAATCCCTAGGACTTGCCTTACATGAGTGTAGAGAATCTTAGTTGAAATTGTTTTGTGTTACCTTGAGCTTGCCCAGCCAGTTAAGGCATTAAAAGATCCCCAGATTAATATTCCAAGGCCTAAACCAATGGTTTTGATAATTGGGACAACAGCAATGTTCCCTGTAGATGTAACATACAGAAAAAAATGTTATTTCTAACAGAAAAAATACATTTATAAATTGAATTAATTTTTAACTTCAACTAAAGCTTATGAGATTTTGACAAATATAATAAAGTACAATTCCTCATTTTTGAAATAAAGTAACTACACTTTTGGCATTGAACTCATGCTTATGATTGCTAAAACAAACAGACATAAGACAAAATCTTACAAAGAAAAATACTGAATTAGCTCTTTGCCTAGTTGCATCAATGCTTTTTATCCTTAACATAGGTCTTTATTCTGTAACTTTTTGCAGAAGGTATCAATTATAAAATTAGTAGTGGCTGTCCTCTTAGACTTGAACTAGGGCCAACCACTGGTAGAAGTTTCTGGCCCAATATGGCTCCAGATTTTGCTCTTCCATGCTGCCTGACTTGTCTTCTGGAATCCTGCATTCATTGCTTTGTGCTCTGGAAGGTCACTCAAGGCCAAATGCATGATTGTTTTTTTTACAATTCTTAACCTCTCAGCAGTCTGGCTTCAGTCCTGCAATCTTCTCTTAAAAGGTTTCCTCTCATAGCTTCCAAGATGCCTTCATTTCCTGATTCCCTCCTGTCTCTCCTTAGCCCTTTCACTGGTTGCTCTCTCTTGGCATACTTTCTGGATTTAGATGCCCCCTAAAAACTTTCCTCTGAACACATTCTTCTTTTGCTATATTCTTCTTTGGGTACTTGACCTAATTTCAGGATTTCAGCTGTCAGTTAGAGACACACGGTCCCAGTGGTATTGTTCTAGCCTGGACTTTCTACAAACTTTTAGTGCTATGTTCCCAACCACTGCAAGAGGCCTCCCACCAGAAGTCCCTCGCTGCGGGAACATCAGGAACTTTCAACTCACAAGGTCCCAAGCTGAACTATCCTTTTTCTTTTTGGACACATACCTCTTTCTGTTTTCATTGCTCATGTCAATGGTACCACCACCCTCCTCATCACCTATAATAAAATCCCTACATCATCACTCACTTCTCCCTTTCCTCTACACCCCATATCCATTCAGTTACTATGACCTATTTCACCCATGCTGGCAACATTTCTCAAGTTATAGCCCTCCCCCCTGAATCCCAAAGGAATCTGCTGGGTGATTATAAATACTATAGTTGTGATAAAGATCGGTAGGATAATGGATACTTTCTCTGTTCCTCTCTCCCCATTAAACATGATAAAAGTGATCACAATAATGGAAATTTAAAAGTGAACTCTTTTGTCCTCCAACTCATGAACTTTACTAAATCACTTAATTCTGCAGAGACTCAAAATAAATGGGTACCCAAAAAACTTTTAACATTCTAAAATGTATTTGCTTTTAATCAAATTAACCCCTGAAGAGCCTTGATACTTCGAATTCTTTTTGCTAAATAGAATAGAAATCTCCTAGGGTGCATTTATATTAATAGAAGGAAAACCATCCTGACTGTCCAAGCAAAGGTATACATTCTAGTTATATAGTTTCAGGTATTCATAAAGCAACAGAGGGAAGATTTTTGTTTTTATTTTTTTTGCCAGTGTTTTTGAGATGGGAATGTGTGTCTGTTTGCCTACATTTAAGGACAAGTCTTAAAGACTATTAGTAGTCTTAGAGACTACTATTCAAAAAATATTTTCTGATAAACATAGAGAAAAAAGGGTTGGAGCGCTTAAACTAATATACGAGCTACGCTTGAATAGATAGAGAACAATAGAAATGTTTTTGCTGTAATTCTCTACCAAGAACTAAGAACAGAATCATTAGGAGGAAAAAAGAAATGCACCCAAAATCTTTGCAGAGTATCTGAATGAAAGAAACAAAATTAATTTCTAGTATCTATGACTCAGGATTACTCAGAATTGCTGTTGGTGCTATTTCCTTTTATTATGAATCAGAGTCATTTTGATCAGTATTAAATGATTAAAGAATAAAGTATATCATACATTACCTGTTGCCCAAATGCAGCCCCCAACCATTGCAAAAGGCCAAAATTTAGGGCAACGTAATACCAGATTGACCACCAGGGCAACCAACCATACGGCAGCACAAAGTACCCACTGGAGAAACATTCCTGGAAATAAAAGAAATTGCTTTCTGTCGTTCAAACTGATCTGAAAATTTTAATGCTTAAGAATATCAAAGAGATCTTATTATAAGAATAACCACAGCTTATTGAATGCCTGTATTTGGGTACTTCGCACATTTAATTTTTACAACTACTAAGCATCACAGTTAATCCGAGTTTGAAGATGGAGAAAATGAATGTGAGATGACTCAACTTGGCTAAAGAGCTTATGGTTTGCAGGCCTTGAATTTAAACCGAGGCATTGACTCTGAAGCTTACCGAGTACAGTGCATTCCTGCTTGACATTCTTTTGTTGGTTGGTTTGTTTGACTTCTTAGACAAATCAAGACTTTTCTACCAAAGAGTATTTGGCCCTTTCTACCAAAGAGCTCTTGCCAATATGCTGCATCTACTGCCACTTCTCACCCAAACACAGCTATAAGAATTACAGAATAGCATAACAGTAATTAAAAACTTTTGGGGATCATTTTTGTCACCCTTGGGATAAAAATAAAGCCATTTATGGCCACCTGTAGACCTCCTACAGTTACAGTTGAGTGCCTGTGATGAACCAGATGTCACAAACCTGAGAATTAGCATTCTGGGTCAGGGAATTCTCTTTCTGGGCTCTGGGTTGCCATTTGCCAGTTATCCGAAGATGACATGGTGATATAAAGTCTATCTGTACCTGATGCTTCTGTACCATCAAGAGTTTAGGGATTAAAAAGTTAAAGAAAAAGTCTATACTGGAAGAAAGACTAGGGCATTTATAACTCAGTGTAGTTCTTTTGCCTCTAACTGGGGAAGATTTTTGCCTATTTCCATTCAATTTCATGTCGGAGGAGAGAAAAAAAATGGCTGTTAACCTCTAAGACAAAAAAAGGAAGATCACAGAGGTGAAAGAGAACTCAATTTTACAAGTTCTTCATTTCACAAATGAGAAATTAAGAACAAAAGACCTGATGAGACTTGCCCAGGATCACACGGTTGCTGAGAGACACCTAAAGGCCAGTTCCTCTACCCCTTCATATATATTTTGTTTTTCTTTTAGTAGTTTCCATTTCCATTCTAACTCCAAAGAAAAAGAGAAGAAAGGCCTTGGAAGAAAGATTTGTAATTCTATTGTTTAATTAAGTAGCAAGTCACGAGGAACTGAGGGGACAGCACAATTGCTTCCCACCAGGTATTCAGAGCAACATCTCCAGTTTCTTCTTCTGGCTACAATGTGGAGCATCTGGCAAATAGAGGGTGCCTGGGTGGCTCAGTTGGCTAAGCCACAGACTTTGGCTCAGGTCATGACTTCATGGTTTCGTTAGCGGGTTCGAGCCCCACGTAGGGCTCTGTGCTGACAGCTTGGAGCCTGGAGGCTGCTTCAGATTCTGTCTCCCTCTCTCTCTCTGCCCCTTCCCTGCTTGTGCTCTCTCACTCTCAAAAATAAGTAAACAAATATTAAAAAATAATAAAGGCAAGTAGATTTTTAAAAGAGGAAAAAAACCCGTCTTGCTTCTTCCTTAAGTTCACATTACAGTCAAGTCGATTGTAGTGTGCTTTGTCTAAAAACACTGCACTATGCAAAATCACATAACCAAAACTTCAGAGTTGTAATGGGGAAAAAGGGAACAACACTCAAAAATTTCATTAACACATATGGAAACAAAAGGCAAGAACCTAATAAAAATGGCAGTACAGTTTTACACTTGCTAAGTGGTGAAGAAATTCAGAAGTATTACAATAAATATGGCCCTTTAACATGAAAAAGACTTGAAGTTTGCTTAGAAGTGGGCATTGGAAGTGTGGCAGCTTGTGAGCTTTTGTGAGGTTGGTGGATGGGGGATCCTAACACCAGATGTGAATGGGTGCGGTGCTGACGGAGCCTAGGGATGTTGAAGGGTGCACGCGCAAGCGCATTTTGTGCCTTAGGTGCATCTTTATCCATCTGGGTGCAGTTTTCCGTGTTTACCTAGTGTTGTGGCAGAGTCAAAATCCAACTGTTTTCTATTATACCAAGCTTGTTTGAAATCCATGTTTTCAAAACAAGTGTATATTGGTAGAAACAACTAACTTCCTTCTTTTGTAAATATAAGAGATATGGCTAAAAAGTCTTCCTGATGGTCTCTTTCTTAGCTTTACCATGACACACAGTCTTAAGATGATCCTATACTGACTAAATCACAGATAAACTGGCATTAGCATTATCAAATGATGTATCTTAAGCTCTATTCATTTTGCACCAAGCACAAGAAAATTGGCAGCCATCATTAAAAAAAGACCACAACAGAGGACTTCATGTTTAAAAATAATATAAAGTTAGCTAATGAAGGAAAAATAATAACCATCACCAGTATCATATTTTTTAAGTGGTACAAAGTTGGAGCCAAACAAAAGAACAGCTACAGAAGAGGAGATGAAACCAGTGATTAAGTCTGTTCCATTATTGCTCATGGTTCCAGTACTGCCTGAGAGTGAGCTGGTTCACTTTAGCCTTGATGTACTTTGCAAGAGCTTCTGAAATAAAATAAAAATAAAACAATTAAGAAATTGTGAATCTGTGAACAAATTGTGGCTCATATGTGATAGTTACTGAGCCTTTCCAAAGTATGCTAAGATTCCTTTCTCCAGAAAAAAAGTTAGGACATTATGAAATTACATATTACGTTCACACTCCATGTTCATTCATCTGTTGTTTTGTTTGTTTTCCCAACAAATACTTTTTGGTCACTAATCTACAATTAAAAAAAATACTTTTGGGGGCACCTGAGCTGCTCTCAGTAGGTTAAGCCTCTGAATCTTGACTTCAGATCAGGTCATGATCTCACAGTTTTGAGATTGAGCCCCGAGGTGGGCTCTGCAATGGGCATGGAGCCTGCTTAAGATTCTCCTCCCTCTCTCTCTCTCTCTCTCTCTCCACCTCCCACCACCACTCTGCCCCTTCCTTGTTTGCATTCTCTCTCTCCCAAAAACAAAACAAAAACAAAACCCAAAAGAAAAACTTTGTCTTCAGAGCTCGAAAACCTTACTTCTTCCAAGATCTGGGGACAATTCTTATTATATTATAAAAAAAAAAATTCTCTTGTGTAGGCTGACTAGTATAATGAAAACATTTGTGTGGACCTGGACTCAGTTACTTCAATTAGTTGTGTGACAATCAAAATGAGAGCACATGTGAAGACTTTCAGAACAATTAATGCCTCCAAAGCAAATAGGAGCTTAAGGACACATTTAGGTTGTACTGGTGCTAAATACTCAGAATCATCTAGAGGCAAAGGCAGTTTTCTTATCACTAGTGCCCTCATGGTCTGTACTCATTTAAGTAGTTCATGAAACTTTGTATCTTATGCTTAAAAAAATGAACAGATAGAAGAATCCCTTAAAGATCTCTTTAAGAATTTCTTAAGTCTCTTTAAGATTTAGATCCTTGAAGAATCCCTTCAGGAATCTCCTACAGTATAAGATCAACAGTGATATGATGCAAAATAACTTCACCTGGTCAGCAAGAACTATGTGAAGCAGCTATTCAGCTATCTGTGCAATCTGGTAGCTGCTAGCTGCATGTAGATAACTAAATTTTCATTAAAAGTAAGTAAAAAACATTCAACTCCTTAGCCAAGCTAACTAAATATCTAGTGCTTGATGTCCACATAGAGCCAGTAGTTACCATTCTGGGGAGTGCAGATTATAGAACATTTCCACCATTGCAGAAAGTTGTCTTGGACTGCTCTGCTAAGCTTATTAAAAAGTTCTGGTTCCCTATGATGAAAGGACCAAACTCACAAATAGCCAAGAATCAGACATTTTTCATAACATTTGGAAAAGGTTATTGAACATAATTCACCCTTTTAGTTGTAGAGGTTACATGAGAAAAAAAATAACACAAAAGGGTCATTTTATCACAGGAGGTAATCAGTCTTTCCACAAAACCATTTTGAAATCATATTTTGCACATTGACTTTTTGGTTCACGTCACCTCTTTAAGCAGTCTGTAATAGAATTTAAGATAATCCGGTCTTTCTTTTTCTCCAAATTTAATGTTGTGATGACTTCTTGTGGATATGTATTGACTAAAGTATATTGTTTTTGTTTTTTTTTTAATTTTTTTATGTTTTATTTATTTCTGAGAGAGAGAGAGAGAGAGAGAGAATGAACAGGGGAGGGTCAGAGAGAGAGGGAGACACAGAATCTGAAACAGGTTCCAGGCTCTGAGCTAGCTGTTAGCACCGAGCCCGACCCGGGGCTCAAACCGACGAACCGTGAGATCATGACCTGAGCTGAAATCGGATGCTTAACCGACTGAGCAACCCAGGTGTCCTGACTAAAGTATATTTGAAATCAACTTTCCTTGTTATTTTATTTTATAATGACAATATTTGCTTTAAAGGCATTTCATTTTTCCATCTCTTGTTCCTTATGTGTTCTTGCAGAGAATATTAAGTAAAAACTATCTACAATATATAGTCTTTAGCACCATCATGGATAATTTAACTGAAAACAAGGATAACTTCAAAATTGCTGAATAAATCTTAATAAGAGAAACATCTATTTGAAATTGTATGTGCTTTCTTAAAACAAACCCAAACAAATGCTGTAAGACAATATCTTCCGTGGGGATGTAGTCAAGGAAGAGACATTGTGACATACAAAAACACTGACATAATAACACTACTTCAATAAAAATAATAGTCTTACTGTGAAGCGCAAAGAAAGTTTTAGCCCTGCAATGGCTTATCCACGGGCTACTGTTCAAGAGTCAAGCAGGAGGATTTGTTACTAAGATATCAGAACTGTAATCGGCCACAGGAAATGGAGATCAGCGGACTGAGAAGACTCATGATTTGGTGTTAGCTAAGAAATTACGTTCTTTTCCCCCCATTTAAATCGAAACAAGCAAAACAAAACAAAACCTTTACAAGCACACTGATAAGAAGATGTCTAACTTTCAAAAGTGGCCAATTATTTCAGTGAAAAGATGGCTTTATGAAAGACCACGAACAGCTCTAACTTCTTAAGATTCCACTCCAACTGAAGAAATAATTTGAAGTGTTAATCAGAGTACTGCATTTTGACTGTTGAACGAATATTATCAATGTTAATTTACTTAAAGTTGTTGCTTGTTGATAAATGAAATTTATTTCATACAGCTCTGGTATGTTTCAGAAAGGAAGTGATCTAATTTAAAAAACGATTGACAATATGCATTATCTCTATCTAAATCAATGAAATTAATGTGAAAAAGCAAAGCAGTATCACGTTTAGCACATTATTCCCAATTCTTTTTAATGCAGACATGTTAACAAGTCTCAAACCACTTTTAAACAAAAGTAGTTTTCAAATGTTTATTTTTCAAGTGTCCACTGACATTTTATTAAACTACATTCATTCATTTGTATCTTAGTACTTTGGTTTCATGTATTAGTAAATACTTTTTTCTCTTCACTTCTGTCCATTTAAACTCCTATTGTTAGTGTTTGGCACGTTCTGATCCAACATTCTTCAACTAAGAGTTCAGTTTTAGTTTCGTGTTAATTTCCTCAAGTCTGCCAGGCTCTGCCGGCATCTTGGCTAACATTCTCAGTGCCTGAAAGTACATATTCAGAGCCCTGATTTTTTTCTTTTTAATCATCAGCGTTTTCTGAAAAACCACGAGACACTCGGCTGCTAAGCTACTGGGTTTCCTGCGATAGCGTGTACTCACTGCGCTCAGGGCGGGCGGAAACTCGCTCAAGCACAGCACCCACCCAAGCCTCCACCGCGCGGCTGGGCTGCCGGCCTGCGCTCGCCGGTTCTCTGCGGCTGGGCCAGCGTGGCCAGCCTGCACTTCCTGCTTGGACAATTACCTGTGACCGGGCGGGAGAAGGGAGGAGTCTAGCACCTGTGACCCAGAGGTCTGTCGCCTCGGTTCGACCAGACTGCCTGGCCAGCCATTACTTCCTGCGGGGACAATTACAGACAGACGGACGGGTGGAGGAGGAAGCGCTCTAATAAAAGGGACCCGGAGGCAGCCGGTTGGGAAACACTTTCCTCCAGCGCAGGAGTGCAAGGTCTTGTGACTGACGTGGCTCCGAGAAGGAGTCCTCAGACCATCTGTCAATCAACCAGCGAACTAGACCGGCTTTTGTGTATTTTAGGAGGTGATTGTTCAGGGAGCTCTTTGCGGGTCACCCTTTAAATGTCACAGAGGTTGGTAGTATCTGTCCTGTTCACGGATGAAACAAAAGGGCAAGGAATTTCACACAATGGTAAAAGGCTTTGTGAAAATTGAATGTGTTACAACTATCAAGAAATTCGTCTGAACCACTAATGTCATTAACATCTCTTGTGACATCACAAGATACCACTTGTGATCAGTAATTCTTCATAAATGCACCCATACCATTTATCTGTATATTTATCTAATAGGTACTGAGTACCATGTGAGAATGTAAGGTGTATGCCTCTTAAAGTTGATTGCGCATTACAATCACTGAGGAGGATTTTTCTGCTTTGTTTAGTTTTTAAAATACTAATGACCTGGACCCCACAGCAGACCAGCTGAAATAGGATCTCTGGAGATGTGGATTAAGGATAATTTTCTCCTCCAAGGGATTCTGTTGTGAAGCCAGCCTAGAGAATCATATTCTAGATCAATAGGTGTCAAATTTTATTGCTGGGAAGAATTACCTGGAGAATGAGCTAAAATACAGATTCCTGACATCTCGATTTAGAGCTTGAGAAAGATTGCTCTAGTCCTCCACTGCCTGATATGTAGCCATTAACTGCACATGGCTATTCACATTTAAATTAGAATAAAAATTCAGTAGTTCTCTTGTATTGGACACTTCTTTTTCTTACAATTTTTTAATATTTTATTTTATTTTTGAGAGAGAGAGAGAGAGAGAGACAGAGCATGAGTGGGGTAGAAGCAGAAAGAGGGAGACACAGAATCTGAAGCAGGCTCCAGGCTCTGAGCTGTCAGCACCAGAGTCTGATGCGGGGCTCAAACCCACTAACCTCGAGATCATTCATGACCGGAGCCAAAGTGGATCACTTAACTGACTGAGCCACCCAGGAACCCCTGTATTGGACACTTCTTAAGTGCTCAGTAGCCACATGTGCAGGTTTTAGAATATTTCTATCATTGCAGAAACTATCTGTTGGGCAGCGCTGTTCTGGACTCAAGAGCCCTGAGAGTTCAGCTGTGGCCTAGAGAGAGTCTTTCCTTTATATAGATTCCAGAACAACAAGGGACATAGATACAAACAAATAAGTTCAGAAAAGGGAAAGGAGAAATGTTGGGTTCTGTCCCAGTCTAAGAGATCAAGGAAGTCCTCTCAGAGGAAGTGACATTTAACTGAGATATTTCAGGGGTTGGTAATGATTGTAGAGTTACAAGAGGGGAGAAGGCGTAGGGAGTGCCCAGAGGAAGGATCCTGGAAGGAAATTGTGCTTTAGACATTACTCACATTTATACATGAGAGTGCAAGAAGCAAATGAGAAGGAAAAGCATCATGTCATTTAAAGAATTAAGAAAG